AATGGGGGCATGCAGTGATGTAATGGGGGCATGCAGTGATGTAATGGGGGCATGCAGTGATGAAATGGGGGCATGCAGAGATGTAATGGGAGCATGCAGTGATGTAATGGGAGCATGCAGTGATGTAATGGGGGCCATGCAATGATGTAATGGGGGCATGCAGTGATGTAATGGGGGCATGCAGTGATGTAATGGGGGCATGCAGTGATGTAATGGGGGCATGCAGTGATGTAATGGGGGCATGCAGTGATGTAATGGGGGCATGCAGTGATATAATGGGGGCATGCAGTGATATAATGGGGGCATGCAGTGATATAATGGGGGCATGCAGTGATGTAATGGGGGCATGCAGTGATGTAATGGGGGCATGCAGTGATGTAATGGGGGCATGCAGTGATATAATGGGGGCATGCAGTGATGTAATGGGGGCATGCAGTGTGTGACATTACTGAACGTTATGATAGTAATTAAGGTATTAGAGGGTGGTGCAGGCGTTGTGGGCAGTGACATATGACCTGTCACTGAGCGTGTGACCTGTGTTACCTGTGGTCACTTGGTGAGGTCGGTAATGGTTGATGGACGATTGAAGGAGTCAGTGAGAGTTAATGGGGGGTCATTAAGGTCACCCAAGGGGGTTGTACACTGCTTGGTGAGGGAACTGGCGATACAGTGACAGTGTTGAGTTTAACGAGACACGTTTCAGGTACAATTATCTGTGTGTGGGACACCTAATTGATCTCTAGCTAATTAAATGTAATTAGCAGCGGCATAGTGAATGACACAATGGTGAGGGACTGTCGAGAGTGACGGTGTTCGTGTTAACATAATTTGCTCTAGACTAAATATCTATCAGTGTGACGGCTAATTAGTGGCTCGCGTAATTAGGGATAATTAGCATTACAGGGTTTGACTGTCATAGGGCAAAGTCATTGAGCTAGCATACTTCGTTGGATTAATTATATCTGTCCGTGGGAGAGTTGATTAAGCACTCAGGGTAATTAGTGGGTAATTAACACCTCGACCGTGAATTCAGTGTTTGATGAGACCAGCTTAGGCAGTGTGGAGTGGGACGTATTCGTGTATAATTAATTAACAGTCTGTGGGACAGGTAATTAATTGCTCAAGGGTAATTAACCCTTATTAAAGTAAACTTGGCACAGACTGTGAGGCACTGCCGAGAGGGTGGCAGCTTGGTTAACGTAACTCATTGTGCATTAATTAGCTGTCTGTTTGACAGTAATTAGTGATTACTCACTGAATGGTTGATGGGGTCAAGTGTGACGTAATTAAGGGCGAGCGAGTTATTGTTTGACAGTTGACTTGTCTGTGGGTGACAAGTGTTAGTGATCAACCTAGAGTACTTTGTTGCTGACTGGTGTTCATAGTCCATTAACGTAATTAATCACAGAATCAATTAATGAAATTGATTAAGACAATTGCTTGATTATGGTGTCTGTAGAGAAGAGTAAAGTAACTTGGGGGTTACTGGAGATGTGTCTCAGGAACCCGCCTTGCCTTGTTTTGTTTACATTTGCAACTTACTTGCAGGGAGCTTCGAAGAGCGTTGACGTAACTGACAGGAGGTTATTGGAGATATTAGATATCTCCAATATCTATTGATATTAGATATTTGATAGAGTTACTGGAGTCTTACAACCTGCAGTGATGTTGTTTGCATAGTAACTGTATTGCCGACTGCTGCAAAGGTTTCTTTATTGCAATCTCGTGTCCTCAGTGAACCCTCAGAATTGTTCATATAGTCAGCCCGAAGCGACAACAGAACAGAGACTGTTGTTATTCTTGAATAGCCTTTATACAGGTGTTTCCTCAGTGAATTCTGGGAAGGCTTCTAGGAAATCGACACCCGCTTCATAGCACCACACATCAAATAAACTTTTGATGTGAGATCCCATGACATACCCACATTAAAATTGCTCGTGAAAACTTAGTGGAGGTTACCGATCTAGTGATAGGGATTTACCCTAAGTGAATCCCGGCTGTAGCTCCTGCCATCCTATGGTCTCTTGCCTAAAGTAATAATCTGCTACTACAACACTTAACGTGTTGGCTAAGCAGTCCATACTGTTTAAGGTCCACCTCCTAAGACAGGTAAGCGGAGGAAAAGTCTCCCAGCACCTGTACCCAGTGTGACGTCATTGTCTCGTGTAAATAAATGCCATGTGGATCACACGTTCCTTTCTCTTCCCGCCAAATTATAACATTTTCCTCCTAAAACTTTTTTGTGAGTAGACTAAATATGTTGCCACATGTTGTCACAGTAGACTGAATATGTTGCCACATGTTGGACACAGTAGACTGAATGTGTTGCCACATGTTGGACACAGTAGACTGAATGTGTTGCCACATGTTGGACACAGTAGACTGAATGTGTTGCCACATGTTGGACACAGTAGACTGAATATGTTGCCACATGTTGGACACAGTAGACTGAATGTGTTGCCACATGTTGGACACAGTAGACTGAATATGTTGCCACATGTTGGACACAGTAGACTGAATATGTTGCCACATGTTGGACACAGTAGACTGAATGTGTTGCCACATGTTGGACACAGTAGACTGAATGTGTTGCCACATGTTGGACACAGTAGACTGAATGTTGCCACATGTTGGACACAGTAGACTGAATATGTTGCTACATGTTGGACACAGTAGACTGAATGTGTTGCCACATGTTGGACACAGTAGACTGAATATGTTGCCACATGTTGGACACCGTAGACTGAATATGTTGCCACATGTTGGACACAGTAGACTGAATGTGTTGCCACATGTTGGACACAGTAGACTGAATATGTTGCCACATGTTGGACACAGTAGACTGAATGTGTTGCCACATGTTGGACACAGTAGACTGAATGTGTTGCCACATGTTGGACACAGTAGACTGAATGTGTTGCCACATGTTGGACACAGTAGACTGAATATGTTGCCACATGTTGGACACAGTAGACTGAATATGTTGCCACATGTTGGACACCGTAGACTGAATATGTTGCCACATGTTGGACACAGTAGACTGAATGTGTTGCCACATGTTGGACACAGTAGACTGAATATGTTGCCACATGTTGGACACAGTAGACTGAATATGTTGCCACATGTTGGACACCGTAGACTGAATATGTTGCCACATGTTGGACACAGTAGACTGAATGTGTTGCCACATGTTGGACACAGTAGACTGAATATGTTGCCACATGTTGGACACAGTAGACTGAATATGTTGCCACATGTTGGACAGTGGTGGGGATTACCATGTGTGTGCACTAACATGTCTTCTAGTATAACTACATCATCTTTAAAGCTTTTGCTACTGTGAGGAAAAGTGACTCGTGTTATTTATTTATTATTTACAAATAATTAATTTATTTCTTGATTTATAATCTATTAGTTATTTCTATAATAATTTAATTCTTATGTTAATTTATTTATTTCGATAGCGGACTGTTTGATATTAAAGTGGATTGTATGTTTAACTTTCCCACAAGTAGTTTCCTGCTCTAGCTGGGGGTTTATTAATTATAGTCTATATAGAGATGTAAAGGTGTGATTATAGAGTCTATTGGGGGGTTTATTAATGATAGAGTCTATTGGGGTTATTAATTATAGTCTATTGGGGGATTTATTAATTATAGAGTCTATTGGGGGGTTTATTAATTATAGAGTCTATTGGGGGATTTATTAATTATAGTCTATTAATCAAAATTATCGATTGGTAAACATTCACTACAAATGTTATTAAGAAGTGTTAGAATATATATATTAGTGAATGAAACTTTAAGTCTTATCTGAGTAGATAAGGGTAAACATTGTGGCCTGAGGGTAGGAAACATGGGTGTAGCTAGGCGCCAGTCTCATGGTGACGCGTAATGTTGTGTGTAGGGTGGTCACCTGGGCTCCCGTCTCTCAGTGAGTCAACATTAATGTGTGCAGGGTGGGGCGGTCTCCTGGGCTCCCGTCTCTCAGTGAGTCAACATTAATGTGTGTAGGGTGGGGCGGTCACCTGGGCTCCCGTCTCTCAGTGAGTCAACATTAATGTGTGTAGGGTGGGGCGGTCACCTGGGCTCCCGTCTCTCAGTGAGTCAACATTAATGTGTGTAGGGTGGGGCGGTCTCCTGGGCTCCCGTCTCTCAGTGAGTCAACGTTAATGTGTGTAGGGTGGGGCGGTCACCTGGGCTCCCGTCTCTCAGTGAGTCAACATTAATGTGTGTAGGGTGGGGCGGTCACCTGGGCTCCCGTCTCTCAGTGAGTCAACATTAATGTGTGTAGGGTGGGGCGGTCTCCTGGGCTCCCGTCTCTCAGTGAGTCAACGTTAATGTGTGTAGGGTGGGGCGGTCTCCTGGGCTCCCGTCTCTCAGTGAGTCAACATTAATGTGTGTAGGGTGGGGCTGTCACCTGGGCTCCCGTCTCTCAGTGAGTCAACATTAATGTGTGCAGGGTGGGGCGGTCACCTGGGCTCCCGTCTCTCAGTGAGTCAACATTAATGTGTGCAGGGTGGTGCGGTCACCTGGGCTCCCGTCTCTCAGTGAGTCAACATTAATGTGTGCAGGGTGGGGCGGTCACCTGGGCTCCCGTCTCTCAGTGAGTCAACATTAATGTGTGTAGGGTGGGGCTGTCACCTGGGCTCCCGTCTCTCAGTGAGTCAACATTAATGTGTGCAGGGTGGGGCGGTCACCTGGGCTCCCGTCTCTCAGTGAGTCAACATTAATGTGTGCAGGGTGGGGCGGTCACCTGGGCTCCCGTCTCTCAGTGAGTCAACATTAATGTGTGTAGGGTGGGGCTGTCACCTGGGCTCCCGTCTCTCAGTGAGTCAACATTAATGTGTGCAGGGTGGGGCGGTCACCTGGTTTTCACTGGATACAATGTTCTCACTGGATACAATGTTCTCACTGGATACAATGTTCTCACTGGATACAATGTTCTCACTGGATACAATGTTCTCACTGGATACAATGTTCTCACTGGATACAATGTTCTCACTGGTTCTCACTGGATACAATGTTCTCACTGGATACAATGTTCTCACTGGATACAATGTTCTCACTGGATACAATGTTCTCACTGGATACAATGTTCTCACTGGATACAATGTTCTCACTGGATACAATGTTCTCACTGGATACAATGTTCTCACTGGATACAATGTTCTCACTGGATACAATGTTCTCACTGGATACAATGTTCTCACTGGATACAATGTTCTCACTGGATACAATGTTCTCACTGGATACAATGTTCTCACTGGATACAATGTTCTCACTGGATACAATGTTCTCACTGGATACAATGTTCTCACTGGATACAATGTTCTCACTGGATACAATGTTCTCACTGGATACAATGTTCTCACTGGATACAATGTTCTCACTGGATACAATGTTCTCACTGGATACAATGTTCACTCACTGGATACAATGTTCTCACTGGATACAATGATCTCACTGGATACAATGTTCTCACTGGATACAATGTTCTCACTGGATACAATGTTCTCACTGGATACAATGTTCTCACTGGATACAATGTTCTCACTGGATACAATGTTCTCACTGGATACAATGTTCTCACTGGATACAATGTTCTCACTGGATACAATGTTCTCACTGGATACAATGTTCTCACTGGATACAATGTTCTCACTGGATACAATGTTCTCACTGGATACAATGTTCTCACTGGATACAATGTTCTCACTGGATACAATGTTCTCACTGGATACAATGTTCTCACTGGATACAATGTTCTCACTGGATACAATGTTCTCACTGGATACAATGTTCTCACTGGATACAATGTTCTCACTGGATACAATGTTCTCACTGGATACAATGTTCTCACTGGATACAATGTTCTCACTGGATACAATGTTCTCACTGGATACAATGTTCTCACTGGATACAATGTTCTCACTGGATGGATACAATGTTCTCACTGGATACAATGTTCTCACTGGATACAATGATCTTACTGGATACAATGTTCTCACTGGATACAATGTTCTCACTTACAATGATACAATGTTCAATGTTCTCACTGGATACAATGTTCTCACTCAATCTCACTGGATACAATGTTCTCACTGGATACAATGTTCTCACTCAATGCTCTCACTGGATACAATGTTCTCACTGGATACAATGTTCTCACTTGATACAATGTTCTCACTGGATACAATGTTTTCACTGGATACAATGTTTTCGCTGGATACAATGTTCTCACTGGATACAATGTTCTCACTGGATACAATGTTCTCACTGGATACAATGTTCTCACTGGATACAATGTTCTCACTGGATACAATGTTCTCACTGGATACAATGTTCTCACTGGATACAATGTTCTCACTGGATACAATGTTCTCACTGGATACAATGTTCTCACTGGATACAATGTTCTCACTGGATACAATGTTCTCACTGGATACAATGTTCTCACTGGATACAATGTTCTCACTGGATACAATGTTCTCACTGGATACAATGTTCTCACTGGATACAATGATCTCACTGGATACAATGTTCTCACTGGATACAATGTTCTCACTTGATACAATGTTCTCACTGGATACAATGTTCTCACTGGATACAATGTTCTCACTTGATACAATGTTCTCACTGGATACAATGTTCTCACTTGATACAATGTTCTCACTGGATACAATGTTCTCACTGCATACAATGTTCTCACTGGATACAATGTTCTCACTGCATACAATGTTCTCACTGGATACAATGTTCTCACTGGATACAATGTTCTCACTGGATACAATGTTGTCACTGGATACAATGGTGTCGACTTGTGCTGTACAGCTCCTGGAGAATATGTTGTTTAGTGAGACATTACTCCAGATGACATGACACGTGTCAACAGTTCCGGGTTAAAAGGGCCACTCTCTCTCTCTCTCTCTCTCTTCCGCGTCGACTTTTCTCCAAATGCGTTTTTATCAAGAGATGGAAAGAAGGTTTATATTTAATATGGGTTTAGTACTGATAATTAAGTTCGTTCCAGGGAGATGTTTAATGATGTTTACACTCCATAGACTGAGGTTTTAAGATGAATTCACATTATTATTATTAGCTGGTGAATTTAATGGCAACGTGGCTATGATATCCTCGCTTCCTTCAGGGGAAAATTCCTCTGGAATCTCATTTTCCTTGAATGATTAAAGAGCTACTTTTGTGTTAATTTGCTTGTACAAAATGAGCAGCAATATTATATACATATTGTATTGAGGGTTAGTAAATGATGCTTCTCCGACACCCACACCAGTCACGCTCAACTGTGTGCATCATTCTCACACTCCTAATTCTTCAAACAAGACTGAATCTTTTCCCAGACCTTAGACACTGGTTGATACCTGGTTGATGGGGTTCTGGGAGTTCTTCTACTCCCCAAGCCCGGCCCGAGGCCAGGCTCGACTTGTGAGAGTTTGGTCCACCAGGCTGTTGCTTGGAGCGGCCCGCAGGCCCACATACCCACCACAGCCCGGTTGGTCCGGCACTCCTTGGAGGAATAAATCTAGTTTCCTCTTGAAAATGTCCACGGTTGTTCCGGCAATATTTCTTATGCTTGCTGGGAGGACGTTGAACAACCGCGGACTTCTGATGTTTATACAGTGTTCTCTGATTGTGCCTATGGCACCTCTGTTCTTCATCGGTTCTATTCTACATTTTCTTCATGAAGGTTTCTTCACACTCATGAAGGTTAACGTCTGTATGCACTAATATGTGTTGTGTTATACTTCCACCTTGTCTAAATCTTTTGTCACACTCAGTCCACTCAAAAAGTTGTTTGGCCGAATGCAGCATACTGTGAGTGGTCACACTTCCATGGTCACTACACCCTTCCCTTACTCTCAACACTTGAGTACTGTGAGTGGTGACACCTCCATGGTCACTACATCCCTTACCTTACTCTCAACACTTGAGTACTGTGAGTGGTGACACTTCCATGGTCACTACACCCTTCCCTTACTCTCAACACTTGAGTACTGTGAGTGGTGACACTTCCATGGTCACTACACCCCTTCCCTTACTCTCAACACTTGAGTACTGTGAGTGGTCACACTTCCATGGTCACTACACCCTTCCCTTACTCTCAACACTTGAGTACTGTGAGTGGTGACACTTCCATGGTCACTACACCCCTTCCCTTACTCTCAACACTTGAGTACTGTGAGTGGTCACACTTCCATGGTCACTACACCCTTCCCTTACTCTCAACACTTGAGTACTGTGAGTGGTGACACTTCCATGGTCACTACACCCCTTCCCTTACTCTCAACACTTGAGTACTGTGAGTGGTGACACTTCCATGGTCACTACACCCTTCCCTTACTCTCAACACTTGAGTACTGTGAGTGGTGACACTTCCATGGTCACTACACCCTTCCCTTACTCTCAACACTTGAGTACTGTGAGTGGTCACACTTCCATGCTCACTACACCCTTCCCTTACTCTCAACACTTGAGTACTGTGAGTGGTGACACTTCCATGCTCACTACACCCTTCCCTTACTCTCAACACTTGAGTACTGTGAGTGGCCACACTTCCATGCTCACTACACCCTTCCCTTACTCTCAACACTTGAGTACTGTGAGTGGCCACACTTCCATGGTCACTACACCCTTCCCTTACTCTCAACACTTGAGTACTGTGAGTGGTGACACTTCCATGGTCACTACACCCTTCCCTTACTCTCAACACTTGAGTACTGTGAGTGGTGACACTTCCATGGTCACTACACCCTTCCCTTACTCTCAACACTTGAGTACTGTGAGTGGTCACACTTCCATGCTCACTACACCCTTCCCTTACTCTCAACACTTGAGTACTGTGAGTGGTGACACTTCCATGCTCACTACACCCTTCCCTTACTCTCAACACTTGAGTACTGTGAGTGGCCACACTTCCATGCTCACTACACCCTTCCCTTACTCTCAACACTTGAGTACTGTGAGTGGTGACACTTCCATGGTCACTACACCCTTCCCTTACTCTCAACACTTGAGTACTGTGAGTGGTGACACTTCCATGCTCACTACACCCTTCCCTTACTCTCAACACTTGAGTACTGTGAGTGGTCACACTTCCATGCTCACTACACCCTTCCCTTACTCTCAACACTTGAGTACTGTGAGTGGTGACACTTCCATGCTCACTACACCCTTCCCTTACTCTCAACACTTGAGTACTGTGAGTGGCCACACTTCCATGGTCACTACACCCCTTCCCTTACTCTCAACACTTGAGTACTGTGAGTGGTGACACTTCCATGGTCACTACACCCTTCCCTTACTCTCAACACTTGAGTACTGTGAGTGGCCACACTTCCATGGTCACTACACCCCTTCCCTTACTCTCAACACTTGAGTACTGTGAGTGGTGACACCTCCATGGTCACTACACCCTTCCCTTACTCTCAACACTTGAGTACTGTGAGTGGTGACACCTCCATGGTCACTACACCCTTCCCTTACTCTCAACACTTGAGTACTGTGAGTGGTGACACTTCCATGGTCACTACACCCTTCCCTTACTCTCAACACTTGAGTACTGTGAGTGGTGACACTTCCATGGTCACTACACCCTTCCCTTACTCTCAACACTTGAGTACTGTGAGTGGTGACACTTCCATGGTCACTACACCCTTCCCTTACTCTCAACACTTGAGTACTGTGAGTGGTGACACCTCCATGGTCACTACACCCTTCCCTTACTCTCAACACTTGAGTACTGTGAGTGGTGACACTTCCATGGTCACTACACCCTTCCCTTACTCTCAACACTTGAGTACTGTGAGTGGTGACACTTCCATGGTCACTACACCCTTCCCTTACTCTCAACACTTGAGTACTGTGAGTGGTGACACTTCCATGGTCACTACACCCTTCCCTTACTCTCAACACTTGAGTACTGTGAGTGGTGACACTTCCATGGTCACTACACCCTTCCCTTACTCTCAACACTTGAGTACTGTGAGTGGTGACACTTCCATGGTCACTACACCCTTCCCTTACTCTCAACACTTGAGTACTGTGAGTGGTGACACTTCCATGGTCACTACACCCTTCCCTTACTCTCAACACTTGAGTACTGTGAGTGGTGACACTTCCATGGTCACTACACCCCTTCCCTTACTCTCAACACTTGAGTACTGTGAGTGGTCACACTTCCATGCTCACTACACCCTTCCCTTACTCTCAACACTTGAGTACTGTGAGTGGTGACACCTCCATGGTCACTACACCCTTCCCTTACTCTCAACACTTGAGTACTGTGAGTGGTGACACTTCCATGGTCACTACACCCTTCCCTTACTCTCAACACTTGAGTACTGTGAGTGGTGACACTTCCATGGTCACTACACCCCTTCCCTTACTCTCAACACTTGAGTACTGTGAGTGGTCACACTTCCATGGTCACTACACCCTTCCCTTACTCTCAACACTTGAGTACTGTGAGTGGTGACTACACCCTTCCCTTACTCTCAACACTTGAGTACTGTGAGTGGTGACACTTCCATGCTCACTACACCCTTCCCTTACTCTCAACACTTGAGTACTGTGAGTGGTCACACTTCCATGGTCACTACACCCCTTCCCTTACTCTCAACACTTGAGTACTGTGAGTGGTCACACTTCCATGGTCACTACACCCTTCCCTTACTCTCAACACTTGAGTACTGTGAGTGGTGACACTTCCATGCTCACTACACCCTTCCCTTACTCTCAACACTTGAGTACTGTGAGTGGTGACACTTCCATGCTCACTACACCCTTCCCTTACTCTCAACACTTGAGTACTGTGAGTGGTCACACTTCCATGCTCACTACACCCTTCCCTTACTCTCAACACTTGAGTGTGGCAACACTGGCCACAATGTAGGGTTGACTTAGATGGCTTTACACGTGTTTAGTACAGCCAATATTGCTATGATTTATTTAAGAAGATACAAATAAATAATGTGATTCTCATAATGACAATATCTACATGCTATGTTGTTGTTGTTGATGTTACTCTTATTTACTTAAGGGCCACTATCTCTTCAGTGGCCTCAGCGTGGACAGGAAGCCGGGGGCTTGTCAAAATTAGTTTAGTTCATTTGTTATGCACCCTATACCCATTCTGTGGACAGTAGTGGAAAGGTTCACAAACGAACATAATGGGCTCTAAAACTGAACCCTAAAAAATTAATTTAGCTTAGTAACTTACAGCCTTGAAAAGCTAGTTATAACATTTAATGTATATTGTTACATCAACAATGGGTTCGAGACCGACCACAAGTACAGTCTCTTGACTGAGTAACTTACATATGAAGAGAGTTAATTATTATGTTTGTCCTGCACACCCGCCCACCCCTGACAACAGGTCATGGTGCCATCTTATGCCTCTATAAGTCTGAAAGCAGACGAGATCTCTTCCATCACTACGGACACCGGTTTTCTGCAGGCTGTCTTGCAATCATATCAACAGTGTCATACCTTGAGATGTCAACATGTGATGGTATCCATAGGAATTTAACTTCAAATCTGTTTTCTTTAGCAGCTAAAACATTCATTCGAAAATTTATATGGGTGTTCCATTAGCAGTGACAAAGAGAATACTTAAACAAATATCTAATGCAGATCTCACCGACCTAACAAATTCACAAAGACCTGAAAATTGTAGCATTAAATATTATAATAGATATCGTGAGGAGACATTCACATATGGGACTAATAGAACAAGAACCCGGCAATGTGATGTTATAGTGGCCAGAATACGCCTGGGATATCGACGTATCTGGCAGCTTTCTCAAAACCCAAATGTCGAGTACACAATGTGTCAACTTTGTGAAAGAGAAAACATGCACTCTCTTGAACATTATATTGTAGAATGTCCCATACTGACTGACTTTCGCCCTCCTGGGCTAAGGTATGCTGAACTGTGTAATTACTGAGTACTGGAACACTTGATGATATATTGGACTTGTATCCAAGATTAACCGTGTAATGTATCAATTACACAATGTATGTATGTGATGTAACTATATAACCTTAGCTTGTAAAAGCATCTTAATCACCTTCAGTGGTTAAGTGCTTAATTGCACACTAGTTTCTCTATCAGCTATATTTATATATTTGTACCCTGTCAAAGAGACAATTGTATGTGAATGCATGTGTGTGTGTATATCCATGTATATTGTGTATATGAACGTATATATGTGTGTACTTACCTAATTGTGCTTGCGGGAGTTGAGCTTTGGCTCTTTGGTCCCGCCTCTCAACTGTCAATCAACTGGTATACAGATTCGATCCTGAGCCTACTGGGCTCTATCATATCTACATTTGAAACTGTGTATGGAGTCAGCCTCCACCACATCACTTCCTAGTGCATTCCATTTATTAACTACTCTGACACTGAAAAAATTCTTTCTAACGTCTCTGTGGCTCATCTGGGTACTAAGTTTCCACCTGTGTCCCCTTGTTCGTGTCCCACCCGTGCTGAAGAGTTTGTCTTTGTCCACCCTGTCAATTCCCCTGAGAATTTTGTAGGTGGTTATCATGTCTCCCCTTACTCTTCTGTTTTGCAGGGATGTGAGGTTCAGCTCCTTTAGCCTTTCCTCGTAGCTCAATCCTCTCCTCTCCTCAATCCCAATCCTCTCCTCTCCTCAATCCCAATCCTCTCCTCTCAATCCTCAGTGTGTGTGTGTGTGTGTGTGTGTGTGTGTGTGTGTGTGTGTGTGTGTGCGTGTGTGCGTGTGTGTGTGTGTGTGTGTGTGTGTGTGTGTGTGTGTGTGTGTGTGTGTGTGTGTGTGTGTGTGTGT